CCTTTGCTTTGTCCAACTCCTCCAAACACTTCTGTATTTCTTTTTCTTCCTCATCATTGATTTCACTGGCTGCACTCATCAATGCTTTCTCCAATGGTGTAGCTACTAAGAATTTCTTTTGAGCTTCCATACACAGCTCATCAATCACATCCACTCTGAAGCAACCTGCCTTATCACTTGGATGTTTCATGGCTTTAAAGACATTAAAGTTCACTTCATCATCTTGAACTCTAACCTTGAGTTTGCCATCATCAACATCAATGATGACCTTGGCTGTCTTCATGAATGGCCGTCCCAAAAAAAGAGGAACTGCAGAACCCTCCTCCATATCCATGACAACAAAATCTACTGGGAACCAAAACTTATCAACCTTAACAAAGAGGAATACAAGGAGTTTGACGATTACATCAATCCCAACCCTAAGGCTTAGCTATCCATAGTACAAGAAATCACCCAAATACAAGATGAAAGGTAGAAGAAGAAAGAAATCCTTCGAAGAATCGCGTCCCCACGAGCTCCAAAAGTGTTTTGTTTCTCCTCTCCTCTGTTTTTCCTTCGTACAGTTTCCAGCTCCCCTGGTTTCTCTCTCTTCTGCCCTTATATATGTGATAAAATTAAAACAGAGTGAATAATAGAGAGACGAATCCGCTCAGCGCCTTGGAACGACTGAGCGGTTTGAAGACTCCTTCACCATGAAGTAATTCAAAGGGCTGAGCCCCTTGGATTCGCTGAGCGCCTTGGAGATCCTTCATTGCTAAGCATTCAAAAGGGCTGAGCGCCTCAGATCTGCTGAGCGCTTTAGAGGCAGAAAGCACCCCCTTTTCCTGGATTAAATCCGTTGAGCGGATGGGAGTGGCTGAGCGCCTTGGAGGCAGAGAGCACTCCTTCTCTTCCAGGGGCCAATCCGCTGGGCGCTTTGAAGTGGCTGAGCGCCTTCAGTTTGGGAAGCTCTCTGGCCTGATTTCACTGAGCGCTTTAGAATGGCTGAGCCATTCTTCTCCAGGTTTCAAAACCTACAAAATAAGCACCAAATTGGATCAAAGGTTTCCTATTCCCTGTACTAAAATTAATCAAAAGTACCGCTTTGATTCTAAGCATATATAGATCAAAATAATATCAATATGTGCTAGATAAGTGTCTCTATTGAATATTTAATCAAACTAATTAGACACTTATCATAGCCTCAGGAATTGAGAGATCACCATCAATGCATGCATCATGTAGAACAGAGAAAACAATTTCGCGAGATTTCTTTGCACCTGTGAATCCTAGCTTTAACTAGTAATCATCACACCATGTGAGTAAAAAGGTGGAAATTTTAAAGGCTGTAAAAGCAACAAAAGGCTAAACATTGCTCTCATTTTTCATATATAAGAAGTTCAAGCATTAGTTCAGTAGAATCAGGACATGAGTTTGTTTAACACATTCTAAGCCTTTGCGCTCAAAAGAAGTTACGAATTTAGAATAACTTTGAGTAACTTAATGAAGCACGAACTAAGAACAGAAACAGATTGCAAAGTCACATCAGATATTCCATTGTACACATCAGACCAAATGTAAACTATAATGTAATTGTTTCTCTAATCATCATCAAGTGTAACGGAGGAGACTGAATAAACACCATCTTGTGAAGGGATAATATCTGCAACATAAAGAAAAATATTCAATTAGTAGCTAGTCATGTTATATTAAGTAGATAATAAAATAATAGTGTAAGGCAATTAAAAAAAATTATTACCTTGTTCAAATTTCTCAAGCTCCACAAAATCTTCTATTTCATTCAAGGACAATGGTGGAAGTATCCCTTTGAGCCAATCTTGCGTGCAAATAAGTGCTTCCACCATTTGTGGTGTAAGAGAACTACGATATGCATCAAGAACTTTTCCTCCGGTACTAAAGGCAGATTCAGAGGCCACAGTAGAAACAAGTATAGCAAGCAAATCTCTTGCCATGTTTGAAAGAATTGGAAATTGACCCGAATTTAGCTTCCACCAATTTAAAACATCCAAATCTCCTTGACTCTCTTCTAAGGCTTCCTCTAAGTATTTAATTTAGATTTATGAGGTCCAGTTGATTTGAAAAACTAGTTGTAGCCATAAGGATCGTCACTTGCTTCTTCATTGAGTCGAACTTCCTGTGAGTTAGCTTCAAACTCAATTCTCCCACCATTATACTCTTCAAAAAGTAATCTTATACTTGATTCCACTTTGTCTTTCAAATTAGATGCCACAACACCATCAAAACTTTGATTAATCAACCAATGCATGAATTTTAACTTATATCTTGGATGCAACACAAGAGCAATCAATAATAACATGTTCAGTCGATCAGGATTGCCCCAATATTTGTCATATTTCTTTTTCATGTTTTCAGCCATCATACTTATAATCACATCCTTGGAAGCACACATTTGCTTAATCTTTATTCCAATCCCGAAGGCCTCAAACATGTACATATTGCTAGTCACATAAGATGAACCAGAGATACGCATAGTAGCATCATAAAACAACTTTAAAAATGGTAAGATACCACGCACAAACTCCCAATCACCAAATGTAGGAACACCCTTCCCTTTTTCCAACTCTTCAATGTATTTTTTATCTTGCATCTCAAGCTCTTCAAATCCTTTTGATGTTTTAATGCAGCTTTCAACATTAAGTATGTAGAATTCCACCTGGTTTCAACATCTAGGCAAACAAGCCCTTTAAATTCAATGTTTCGTTGCTCAACACATGCCTTGAATTTAGATAGCCTAGAAGGGGAAGATCTTACATATTTGATAGCGGCACGAATTTTCACAACAGCATCAATATTTTCTTTGAATCCATCTTTCACAATTAAATTAAGAATATGTGCACAACAACACATGTGAACATAATCTCCCTTCATAACCAAACTGTTCCATGACATTAGCCTCTTCTTGAGATATTGGATTCCAACATCATTCGATGAGGCATTATCAACTGTTAAACTAAGGACCCAATTCAAGGACCCAATTCAAGCCCCAACTACTCAAGCAATGCTCAACTGTCTTAGCCATAGTCTTTCCTGAGTGACTTGTGACTTGACAAAAATTTAATATCTTCTTTTGCAACTTCCAGTTATTGTCGATGAAATGAGCTGTCAAACACATGTAACCTAGATTTTGACGTGAAGTCCACATGTCAGTGGTGAGGCAAACCCTATGACAGTGTCGAGAAAGAAACTTTTTTAGCTTTGCTTTTTCACTATCCCAAAGTTTCAAAGTATGACGTGCTAGGGTAGTGCGTGAGTAGACAGTAAGAGAGGGTGCTATAATGCTTAAAAATTCTCGCAAAGCTTCATGCTCAATATTTCGAAAGGGGAGTTCCATTGCTATGAACATTTTGACCAATGCATTCCAACATGTTTCCTGGTCAATTTTAGGCCTAGCCAAGGAAGGAGAAGAAACAACATTTGTGGATGAATTTGACTTTTGCTTCTTTCTTGCTTCTTTATCTGGGTTATTTTGGCATCTACATAGATGAGCTCGCATTGCACTTGTTCCACTTTCAAATTTAATCAACCTATCACAATAGTTGCATTTAGCTATCTTATCTTCAGGATTCCTTAGTGAAATGATCCCATACTTTAGATCGATTTTTACGTGAATCAAAACTACGAGGAGGTGGCATTCTACTTGTGTTAGAGACAGCAGTAGGTGGAGGAGAAACTAAATGATTTGTTGTCTCAAAGGGCAAAATGCCATCTTGATCAGCCATTGATTGATGTAGTTGTTTTGAAGATCTATAGATTGAACAGTAATAAATTTAATCACAATAACACATTAAAAAAAACTCCTTCATAGACCTAAAATCCCTTCCTATGCACAAAAATTGCCAAGCAAAAAGACAATGTCCAGCATCACTATTCAAATGCTCAAGTAATAAAATCATTTATGACTAACCCGATAAACAAAGTAAACTTATAACTACAAAACGATAGGCTAAATCAAATTAATAGAAGCTAATTAAAACCCATAAGCTATGTACAACAAAAACTAGAGTTCCGACAAAAAAGGAAACGAAAGCTAACGTCTTTGAACCTGTGAAACTACACCTTAGGGTTCTTCCTCTGAAATTTTACTTGGCAATTTGGGGCTTTGGGTACTGTCATTGCCAACGATTGAGAATGAGTGCAGTGCGAGATTGTGAGACTTTGTTGCGAGAGATCGAGATTCGAGAGTATGAGAAAAAGAGTGTGCGAAAGCGTGGTTGAGCAATTTGGAGCTTTGGTTTATTTGTTGTGCGTCGTGCGAGACTGCGAGATAGAGTGAGTGAGATTTGAGTGTTCTATTTTACAGTTTTAGTGAACCTGAACCAAACCTTTTTAAAAAAATAGGTTCAGTTTTTAAGTTTTATTTTAAAAATTAAATCCGGTTCAATTTTATTATAATTGGTTCCGATTTTTTTTAAATGGTTTGGTTTAGTTTTAAATTCAATTCGGTTCTTTTGGTATTTTTGAACAGCCCTACATGTGATTGCTTTGATGGTGTTGAAAATCTTGAAATGACGTTGTTATCTCTTAATGAACCAAAAATAAAAGGTGTCTTATTTACAAATGATGGTCAAGAAATGGATGAAATTGATACTATTCCTATTTCTCGATAATAAAAAATAATTTATAATTTTTTTAGTAATGTTTAAAAATAAAAAAAAACAAGAAATATATTCTTAATTTTAATTTTTAAATAATATTTATTTACAATTATTATTTTATATATATTAATTTAATTTTTTAATATGTATTCTAAAAATATCATATCCTATATTTTTAAATTTTAACGTATATAATATATATGATACACATATCACATTCGTACATCATAAACAAAATATAAAGTAAAAAAAAGGCTAAATATCCGTTAGAATGACATATTCCATGCACTCATAATCACCCGGAGCATATAGAAAGCTTTTACAAGTTGGAGCTTATTTTCTTTAACTTTTAAGAGATATGATTTTGTTTTTTTTAAAGGATGATTATCATTTAAAAATTGTAAAGTGTATATATATATATATATACTAGTATTTTACATCTTGGACATTAGTGGGAAGACGATGCTTCATTGCGCAGTTCCAGTTGCAGCGCAGCCTGGAGCGTGGCAATGACTTGGTTCATGGACGGCCTCTGATTGCCAACCTCTGATAAACAACTCAACCCAACATTGCAAAACAAGGCGAAGCACTCGGAGGAGATGCTCCCTTTAAGCGTGGGGTCCACAATGTGCTTCATGGTCCCACTTTGGTAACAGTGTTTGACCCATTTAGCAAGCGACTCTTGTTTGGGGTCAGCGGTGTGGATGAGAGGCGGACGAGCGCACAGTACTTCAAACAGCACTACTCCAAAAGAGTACACGTCAGACTTAACCGTCAAATGCTGCCGGTTACAATACTCCGGGTCTAAGTACCCAAAGCTCCCTTTTACAGCCGTCGTGCTAACATGGGCCTCAGACGTCCCCATGGGCCCAATTCTCGATAGCCCGAAGTCCGAAACCTTCGCCACCCAGTTCTCGTCCAACAGGATGTTCGTCGTCTTCACGTCGCTGTGGATGATCGCGTGTTTCGCCGCGCAACTGTGCAGATAGTGCAGTCCGTGCGCGGCTTCGATACAAATCTGCAACCGTTGCTTCCACGGGAGAGGGGGTTTCTTCGTGCCGTAGAGATGGTCCCGGAGGTTGCCACGTGTCATGAAACGGTAGACCAGGATCTTCTCCTTGCTATTGTTGCAGTAGCCTATGAGAGAGACCAGATGGCGGTGGCGGAGCTGCGAGAGCATCTCGATCTCATTCAGGAACTCTTCAGTCCCCTGTTTCGAACTCGCTTTTAAGCGCTTTATGGCCACAACAACAGGGTAGCCACCGTTGTGGAAGCAGCCCTTGTACACGTCGCCGAATCCCCCGACGCCCACGATAGACGCCTTGTCGAAGTTGTTGGTGGCGGCTTTGATGTCCACGAGGTAGAAGCGGTGGCAGAGGAGATCAGACGAATCCCATGAATGCGCCCAAAACTTGTTTGTTAATGTTGACTTGCTTTTTGACTTGGTCCGCCAAAAGACCAAGAGTGGACACCGCTTGGAAATCCCGGACAAGAAGATGAAGTAAACCACAAGAGAGATTAAAACGACGCCAGATACTACACCTGCTACCACAATCCTCACTGTTTTGCTGCTTCTCTTTCTCTCTTGGAGGGGCATGTCGTTCTGCGGGTTAGGTCCGGCGAGGTTGTTAGACCCGGCCTCGCTTATTTTGAATATCTCCACACCGTTCAAGAATGCGTTGCTACTACTCGCATAGGGCTGCATTTGGAGGAAGAGATTAACCTTTCTCTGAGTGTCATTCTTGGGAATCAAGACAGCGTAATTCTTTTGCACCGCGAGACCGTTCTGTTTCTGGCTCCATCCCATGACACCAGCTTGGTCCTCGGCCAACTCACTACCTATGTAAACGAAGAACTTTCTGTCACTTGTATTATTAGAAGTCGGGTAAGGATCGCAAAAGTGGAGCCTGAGCATGTAAGTGAAACCAGAATCAACGGGGAACACCCATGTCAACTTGAGTGTTTTGTTGCGAGTGGCGTTTGTGTCCATGTCACGCGCGGTTCTGTACAGTTCTTTGGGTGCTACGTAATCAGGATTCACGGTTATGTTCATCTTGCTATCCAAATCACCCGGTTGACCATTACTCTCTGGAGCTTTTCCTTTGATTAGATAATCTTCATCATGACCAGCCCAGTTCCTGAACAAACCGGTGTCGTTTCGTGGCGAAATTCCTTGCCCTCCGACTTTGATTCTATACTCTGTCTGAAGCGCAGTGTTGGTTCTAACGCCGAACGGCGTGTCACTCCCCACCAGCTTGAAGCCTGTGTCATTTGCTGACGTGTAATACAGATCGCCCGGCATGGAAAGTACTTCAATTCCGTTGATGAAAGCGTAGGAGTTTGGTTGTGACGGAGTGAAGCTGAGGTTGAGCCTATCACCGTCCACGTTGATGATGTATTCTTTGAAGACGGTTTTTGTCTTTTCTGCATCGGCGTTTAGGGAGGCATTAAAAGCGTTGAGGAGGGTGAATTGGTTGGAATGAACGGTGAAGGATGCGTCGGTGCGGGGAAAGTAAGGGTAGGAAGCAGGGTAAAAGAAGAGACGAAGGAATTTGGGGCCTGGAGAGACGGGGAAGGAGTAATTGAATTGGGAACGGGACAAGCGTGCTGTGGTGTAGGGGCCTTGATTGCTGGAAGGGGATTGTGTTGTTGCATTCGCTGAAACGGTGCCGTCTTGATGGGATAAGAAGAGATTTGAATTTGTATCCCCAGTCCATGTCCTTTCATCGTCGAAAGATTCAATGGTGGTCCCGCAGCTGATGGTGAAGCGGTCCACTGGTTTGTATGCTTGAAGGTGTGTGGAGAGGAAGAGAATGGTCATGGTGAGTGCGAAGGAGGTGACAGTGATACTGTTGAACCTCATGGTTAACGGTGAGAGACAACATGCCAGTGAAGTTGTGAAGAGTTTTTATTATGATCATAGTAGTTGCTAGGAAGCGCGAGAGGAAGTTTCAGAGAATGTCAGTGAAACAAGGGAAGTGGCAAAACACGGCTCAATAATAATAATAATAAAATTAAAAAGAGCAAAACTCCCATAGTCCCATTACGCGTTTGGATCCCTTCCCACGAGTATTCTCAGCAGCCACTCTCCAGTCCCCAGTAGCTTTATGTACCGTGTCGTTAGATGCATCAGATGGCTGATAAAGCTAACATCGCTGACATCCTGATCACACGTGTTACAATGATCCCATCATCATTAGAAGTATGTTGTCGGCCAAGCCCAATTCGAGCATTATCAGAATTGTATGTGTTTAATTTAACAGAATTTTGTATTACGTGTATCATAAATGAGTATTGTTTGTAATTTACAAACAATGTTGTAGCATTGAAAGAGTGGTACTTTTCATTTTAACTACCTTGGGACCTACTAGTTCGATTCCCATGCAATGGAAAATTTGTTAAATGTGTGTGATGATTCGACGTAAAGAGCATTGGAGAGAAGGCATGGGACCTGGTCATTAGTAATGATGTAACTAGGCTAATATATGAATGTAAGTGTGGAAAATCTGTCTTCCCAACTAATGGGTAGGAAACAAAAATTGTCACTCTGGAAGATTGTGTTCAAACACCAAAAGGATTGACAAAAGTCTTCAAAGATGCTAGATTGATCAAGTTTAGGTTTCCTATGACAAGCAGGCCAGAAAAAGGCGAAGATTGGCCTCCAATGATTGTGAGTGACATGATTGTGTAGACTTCAGTCATGCATAAAGAACGAAGAGAAGGCATTGCATACCAGTGGAATTACATGGTTGAAAATCAGTGTAAAAAAATACCTACCACTAAAGCTCTTTTATTCCTTAACACAGTGGTTTTGGTTTTTTATTTTTTGAAAATCTCGCTATTAGATTATTAATCTTTTTCTTCCTGGCATTGTTAGTTAGCTCCTTTTCTGTTTATCTGTTAAACAGTTCAGCTACACTGACTTTGTGATAGCAATAAATCCATAATAAAAAGAGTATGTAAAGAAAAGGAAGGATGGAACTGGCCAGAGAATATTTAAACCCCATAATATAAAGAGTCTATGTAAAGAGAGAAAGAATGGGCTAGAGAATGTTGAGGCCCGAGCCAAATAGCTTATAAATAGTTGTTACTGGTTAGGATAGGAGAGGGGAGGATTGTTAGAAACTTGTGTAGGAGAGACTCCAGAACCTCTTGAATGAACCTAGAAATTGTAAAAGATCAGTCTGCACCTCCCCCTGTGTACAGTACAACATTCTTGCTCACTTTTCAGTAACATTTCAATCTTTCTTATGTCTATGATCCAGTTTTCATCACCTTGCTAGTTATTTCCTTTTTTGCTATGCAGTTCAGTTGCAACTAATTGAACTAAACCCAGTGACCCATTGTATATAAGGTTTCAAATTCAAAATAAATTTCATTTTTACAAAATTTAAGTGTTCTAACATGTGGCATCAGTAGAAATATTTCTCTATTCCAGCCTTATCCTTCTATCTCTTTTAGTGACCATTCTGAACACCGCTTCATCTCCCTCTCAAGATCCCTCTCATTCATCCAAATGAAAAACCACCGCTTGTTCTAGTTTCCCCAGTCTCCAGTTACAACAATTAGTCTCGTGTAAGGGCTCTCCAGATGAAGAAAAAATTTGACTTTGTCGATGGAACTTTTCCAATAAGATAGGAATAGGATCAACTGTATGCAGTTTGGAAGCGATGCAAATCCCTGTGTTTCTCCAAAAATTGTCGCCAGTGTTATCTGGATTAATGATGCCAAACGGCACTATCCCAAATATCAATTTTCACAAGATGACGAGGTGTGCATCCTACGGATCCAAGGCAATATCTTTTCTCTCAAACAAGCTGATCTATCAATGACCAGCTGGATATTCTAACATTCCCCCTAACTTAAAAAATGGGAAACTAAAAAACTTGTGTAATATCCATTTGTTAAATTATAAGTGAACAACACAGGAGAAGATAGAGTGAATAACGATATACATATTCTTCCTTCCATTGTCAATTTTCATTATAGTGATTTTAAATTCTTCAGATGGGGAGAGGGCAAGAGAAGCAGAAAGCTGTCCAGATACAGCAGAATCTTCTCCTCTTGATGAAAAGAGCAAGTCCTTACTGTGGGTAAACTACGTTGCTGTTGACTATTACAAGGTAGGACTTGGGCATAATATGTTTTTTCCCACCAACTTTTGCTGCTAAAGCTTAAACATTGGACTCATTCATCTTAATATTATAATTTGATAATCATTTACTACTTCCACTAGCATACATGTACTAAAGCTCTTACCCACTAGTTATAATAACAAGAATGCCACTAAGAGAATAAATTATTAGGTCGTGTTCTGCAAGAAATATATGATTAAGTCACTAAATGGAAAAATGTTACAACGAGTGAATACGTAACGCGTAAACTATACATAACGAAATTACAAAAATGTTTAAATGTATGACTTACCAAGTGTCCTTGCATTTGTCTTCATTAGGAGGACACAGAAGCAACTTGATTCCCGTACACACACTAATATTACAATTATGAAACTATACAACAAATTTTGTGCCTCTAGCAAGTGTTCAAATCCAATTTCATTTCATTGTCCACATTTCCAGAGCGTCGGGTCAGTTGGATTACCTCAACGCGGCTTTGGGTCCATAATTTCGGAGAAAGCGGTCCCAGACAGCAACTTTTGACTATCTTTGGGATCATAGCTATGATCTTCGCTGCTCGTAGTCACACTCACCACACTACTACTCTTGTTAAAATCCGAAACCTGGCCCACGCTGGTCCCACTACTAAACATATCGTCACTTTCCTCTCTTCTTTCGTTAACTTCATCAGTAACGACATAAGCATTTTCGCGCAGCTCCGCGCTCTCTTGCAGCTGTAACGCAAACTCCAGCATCCAAACGACGTCGTTCATCGACGGCCTCTGCGTCCCATCGTCTAACAAACAACTCACCCCAATATCGCAAAACTTCCTCAGGCACTCGGGTGCTATCCTCCCTTTCAGCGTGGGGTCCACAATCTGGCCCACTGTCCCATTTTGGTAACAGTACCTGGCCCAATCAGCGAGTGACACCTGTTTCTTCTCCGCAGTGCGGATCAGAGGCGGACGAGCGCAGAGTAGCTCAAACAACACCACTCCAAAGGAGTACACGTCAGACTTCTCAGTCAAACGCTGCCGTTTATAATACTCAGGGTCTAAATACCCAATGCTGCCCTTCACAACGGTGCTGACATGGGCCTTGGATATGCCCGTGGGCCCAATTCTGGAAAGCCCGAAGTCGGAAACCTTGGCCACCCACTTGTCATCCAACAAGATGTTGGTGGTTTTGACGTCGCGGTGGATGATCGTGTGCTTGGCGCCTGTGTGGAGATACTGCAGTCCACGCGCCGCGCCTATGCAAATCTTCAAGCGCTGCTTCCACGCGAGAGGGGGGTTATCGGTGTTGTAGAGATGCTCGCGGAGGGTGCCACGCGCCATGAAGTCGTAGATGAGGATCATCTCGTTGCTCTCGTTGCAGAATCCGATGAGGGACACGAGATGCTGGTGGCGGAGCTGCGAGAGCATCTCGATCTCGTTCATGAACTCGTTCGCCCCTTGCTGTGAACCTGGTTTGAGGCGCTTGATAGCGACCGGGGTGGAACCGCCATCGATGTAGCCCTTGTAGACGTGGCCGAATCCCCCGACGCCGACGATGAAGACGTCGTCGAAGTTGTTGGTGGCGGATTTGATCTCGGCGAGGGAGAAGTGGCGGCAGAGATCGGACGGTAGGGAAGAATTTTGTGTGGCGGTTGACTTGGTCGTTGCGAACGAAAGTGGGCCCCACTTGGATGTCCCTGACGACTTTGACTTGTGGTAATCACTGGGCTTGCTTGTAGTGGCTCTCTTGCGTCGTAAAAACACTACGAGGAAAACCACAAAGGAGATCAAAACGACGCCGGATACCACCCCCGCCACGATGCCAATTATCGTCGTTCCGCTTACGCTGCTGCTGTTTCCCCTTTGGCCGGGTATGCTGCTCTGTGGAGTCTGAAGTGGGTCCGGGTTAGGTCCGGCGAGGTTGTTAGACCCGGCCTCGCTGATTTTGAATATCTCCGCACCGTTCAAGAAAGCGTCGCCATATATTGAATCCCTACTATCATTATAAGAGTGCATTTGGAGGGAGAGATTAACCTTTTTCTGAGTATCATTTTTGGGAATTAAAACGGCGTAGTTTCTGTGTACAGCGAGACCTTTCTGATTCTGGCTCCATTTCATAACATCAGCGTGGTCCTCAGCCAATTGGGTCGCTATGTAAATAAAGAACACCCTGTTACCGACGTCAGTAATATTGGGGTCAAGTTCACAAAAATGGAGTCTGAGCATGTAAGTGAAGCCAGAATCAACGGGAAACTCCCAAGTGAGGTTGCTGATTTTGTTGAGAGTCGCGTTTGTGCCCATGTTACGCGCTGTTCTGTACAGCTCCTCAGGTGCCACGTAATCAGGATTCACGGTTATGTTCCTATCACCCGTGTCAGCTGGTAGATCATTATTCTGTGAATTTTGTGTCATTAAATAATCTTGATCGTGCCCAGCCCAATTCCTTAAAAAACCGCTGTCATTTCGTGGCGAGATTGCTTGCCCTCCAACTTTGATTCTATACTCTGTCTCCAGCGCAAAGCTCGTTCCCACACTGTACAACGTGTCACTTCCCACCAGCTTGAATCCTACGTCATTTTGTGACGTGTAATAGAGATCGGTTGGCATGGACAATACCTCGATTCCATTTATGAAAGCGTAGGAGTTTGGATGCGACGGAGTGAAGCTGAGGTTGAGCCTATCACCCGTGTCCACGTTGACCACATATTCTTTGAATATGGTGTCGGTGCTTTCTGCGTCTGCGTTTAGAGAGGCATTGAAAGCGTTGAGGAGGGTGAATTGGTTTGATTCAACAGTGAAGGAGGCGTCGGAGCGGGCAAAGGAAGGATAAGGAGCTGGGTAAAAGAAGAGGCGAACGAATTTGGGACCTGCGGAGACAGGGAAGGAATAACTGAAATTGGAACGGGACAAGCGTGCTGTGGTGAAGGGGATTTCATTTATAGAAGATTGTGTTGTTGGCTTAGCTGAAACGGTGCCGTCTTGAGTAGATAAGTACTTCGTATCTGAGTCCCCCGTCCATGTCCTTTCTCCGTCGAAGGATTTTCCGGTGGTGCCGCAACTGAGGGTGAAAACTTCATCTGGGGTGTACGCTTGGAGGTGTGTGGAGAGGTGGAGAAGGAGGAAGAGTGTTACGGAGGTGGTGACACTCTTGAACCTCATAGTTTACGTGAGAAACTACAATAACTCTACAAGTCAGTGATGTTGTTAAGACTTAATAGCAATTATGGTCAATGGTGGTTCGGAGTAGTTGCTAGGAAGCACGGCAGAGAGGAAAGTTCAAAGTATTATATTATATGTTGATATTAGTGGAAGACGATTGCGACGACTCAAGTGGCGAAAACAGGAATTTCGTTGTTTTCTTCTGCTTTTTGACCTATTCAACTTTGAAAGAAGGACCATGGTATAGAAATGAGACACGATACACAACGGTCAATGGTTTGCCTACACAAAAATGCTATTATTTTGTATTAAAAAAATGGGGGAAAATAAAACAGTTTAGACCATGAAAATTTGAGTGCTTATCTTTTCCACGGTCTTGTACTCTAGCGTTAGTGGCACTCGTTTGTTTCATAAAAATGACAATGATTGAATATTCTATTGAAATATGGACTTTACTAACTTACTATTCTTCAGCGCGTTCAAACGAATCCATTTTTTCATAATATCACCTCAACAAGATATGTAAACTAATAGTTTTTTAAAATTGCGAGTCCAGCAGCACTGTGAATGCTTCCAAACTCGGCAAGCATGTCAAAGAAGCAAGCAATAAACATTACTAAATTATTGTAATCTGATAGTGAAAAGGCAACTAATAGGTGAATTTGGCCGTTGCACATACATTACAAGTTATTTTTAACCAATAGAGCAGAATAACTTTTTAAGCTTATATTCTTATATGGTCAGTTGTAGACCAAAGTGCACCATCTGAAATTGGTGATAGTCAAGTGGAATGGTGAATAACTTTTACTCTGTAGAAGATCTATATGTATGGTCGTAATTGTGACAGTTTCTAATTCTAACAGTTAAATAAAATAGTAAAATGTTGTCAGCAAAGTTACTAAACAGTGTTCATGAACCGGATAAAGACAAGTTATAGTTATCATTTTTAACTCAACATTGTGCTATCAAGGATGCATGTATATTACTCTATTTGAATAGATGTTTCTTAACTAGCTCTGTCTCAAACTAAAGTTGTCTTTTTTTATTAATATGTTTACTTTTTACTAGTCTTGTTGAAAATCGGCTAGCTGATAATACACTTAAATTCAGTAAGGAGCTTGGTGATCTTTTGAAGGTTCTGATAAAAAACAAAGAAAGTTCATATTAATTATTAAGTAGAGAAGTTAGAAACAATAATTCACTTCAATTAGGTGTACCAGTTACTCAATTCCTAATCTGCTTCAACCCAAGTAAGATTCCTAATTAGGAGCATTTACTGTTGCTTTAGCTGCTGTGGTGAGAATTCCACTCAAAGCCTTCGTGGTGATCAAATAGGAATGGGCTGCCATTGAAATCCAGGCAGTATTTCGAGGTTTCTTGGTTAGTGACACTCTTTGCTGATTAGCTACTTTCATTCAGTCTTTTGCATTATCATGATGCAGTGCAGCTTGTTCTCTCTTCAACATTTTCATAGCTTTTTAGTTATTAGTATTGAGTTTACAGTGCTGAATTGTTTGAGAAGCAGAAGCGGATACTCCATGCCGTACTTGAATTATTTAAAAAATGGAATTCTAGAGGTAGGATTCCAGTTCAATTTAGAATCCGGACACTCTCACACACATTTATTATTATTCTCCCCTCATCTTAATTTCTGTATGAGGCAAAGCAGAAGAGAGAAATCATTGTGTTCCCAGCTACTATTGTTATTCTTCCTGTAGACATTATTTTCATCCTTTCAGGCCTAATTGTAAATATAATTCAGGTAAGATTTAATCTGCAATCATTATTATATTCTTCCTCCTTTTTGTTTTTGGTTTAATAGCCACTTTAATATTGATATTTATCTCGTTTGCGTTTACTGTAATTAATTTGCATGCACATTGCTTTGCTTCCCATCCATTAAAAGGAAAATATAACAAAATAAAACTGACTCCAACAATTATGATACATTGATATAGGATGCAATGCAAATGTCCCACAACTTGTTTTTACAAAAACTTCCTATTCTTTTGTAATATATATTTATTTTCTTCTTTTAAGGGATATATTATAATACATTGCTAAGATTATTTTTGTTCATTACCTTAATTAATTGAACTCCATGTTGATTGGTTTTGGCACATTTTATTTTTTATTTGGTGACAGCTATATCTTTAATAAATTTGGTTCTTAATTTTCCCTAGTTTTGTATCAGGTGGCTTGGCAAGATTACTTTGGAGACTTGCATTTCATAGTTTCACTGTTATATACGTCTTTGAAAGATCTTGTGTACAAGTAATCAATTTTTAATCAGTGTTCTTTGTCTTATTCCGCAACCTTTTTTACTATACAGGGAAAATATAGCACCCAGATACTCTACTGGTAGTCATTTTGCCTAACATGTTCATTTAGAAGCCTTTTTCTTGTTTAATTGATTGCATCTTAACACTTTCTATTAACCAAGTTTTTCCTCAAACGCAATAACTAAGTTGGAAGCCTTTGCAACTGTCACATTCAGATAAACAATTCTTTTAAAGATAAGTATGATTATGTTAAAACAAAATCTTAACTGTAAACTTTTTAAGGTTCTAGCAGTCAATTTTCATGTACTTACTGGATAAGAATGCAAAACTCTCCAAATTTTGCCTAATTCTGGTGTGAGACTTTAAATGTTTGTCTCTGCTTTGCAAGATTTTTCTCTACTGAAGCTACATGTTTCCAGGCACAAAACATAGTACTCTTTACGATGTTCCCAACACTTGGCAAATTCCTTCGCTTTTAAGTGTAAGCTTTTCTCTAAAAATACTGAACTTCAAATCATCTTATTAGTTGGTGCCATTTCTTACAAATTATCTTCTTAGGATCAGAAGCCTGAAGCCTCAATTAAAGAAACTGATGACAAGAACTACTCACGTTAAGCCATAATGTCAGCTTTTGGCTTTTAATACATATTGGTTTTCTTCTCACTCTTCATCCTTTTTAACCTTAATCCTGCATTTTTCCATGAATGAGATGTTGCTTAAGTTTGATCGTTGTGAAAAGTGCACATCATGCTTAAGCTCAAGTACTTTCATTCTAATTGATTCCCACAATGGCTGCCAGAGTTTAGCTATTTTCAGGGATCCTGGTTTCACCCTGGGTTTCATTACATCTTTGATAGCTAAACAAAGAGTTCCCAGAGCTTCAAAAGGAAAGACATTCCTTGCCTGCTCATCAGAAAGATCAACCAGAATATGGTTAGTGATCAATATTCCCGTCTTATCTGTACAGATGCAAGTCGCCAAACCCATAGTCCCACGTATCCAAATTTTGATTTGGGTCCTCTGAGCAAACAGAGGAAGAGACCATAACTGCCCCCACATTTTTTTTCAACAACTTTCTGTCCTTCATTCTTACTTATACCAACAACTAGATCTGAAGATTAACCAATTATGGACACATCTTCTTTGCAAGAAGGGTCACACTTTGTAGAAACAACACCATCTTGCTCAAGAGATTTTGGTTCCATAACCTAATGACAATGTATGACTGATTTCTTTGAAAACTCTCCACTTAATTCAACTTTTGTTGACCCAGCAGGATTTAAAGTTGCAGCAACAGCTTTATTCTTTATTCCAACACTTCCTGATCTTGATGTCCAGCCAATGCTCTTGAAGGTTGCTTTGACCATAGTAGCTTCCTCCTCTTTCATAAGGATTCACGTGAGTCTCTTGTAGTGGCTTGGTAAAAATCCACCCAACCCAAAATTGGAAAATCCCAGTTACAAAGAAGTTCATCTAAAAAGCAGCTTCCTCCTCTCACATCACATAAGGATTCACGTGAGTATCTTGTAGTGGCTTGGTAAAAATCCACCTAAAATTGGAAGATCCCAGTTAAGTTTATTTATCTATTTATATATATATAAAGTGATTCGTATAAGTCTATCTAATTAATAACTCGTGTTTTATATTATCTTTTAAGAATTTAATTGATGGATTTAAATTTTAAGACATAAATTAATATATATATATATATATATATATATATAGTTAATCAATTATATATGGTCGGTGTAAAATTTTTTACACTGACAACCAATTATATCTTTTAATTGTGTCATGTCACTATAAACACATTTAATTTTAATAGTAACATGACACATTTAGAGGAAGGACAAAAGAGTAATCTTAGCATCCATTTAAGAGCTACTAAGATGTATCAGAGTAGCGCAACGAAAGCGTGGTGGCCTAAGCTGAAGAGAGGAGTAGAGGAAGTTTGTGTACTCATGCTTAGTATGGTATAAGTCTAAGGCAGAACATCAGAAGCCTTTTTGAACTTTTGTAACCTTTAGATGTCCCTGTTTGGAGGTGAGATAATGCTTCTAGACTTTGTTGCGGGTTTGCCTAGGACGTTTAGGAAGAATCTTGAGTTTAATGAAGGAGTCATAGTCGAACCTTTTCATTTCAGAAATTCAAGGACGAATTTCTTAAAAGGGGAAGTATTGTAACACCCCAGTTTTCAAAAAAGTTATTATTATTATTATTATTAGATGGTATTTGGTCATAATTATTTTAATAATTATAGAGGAATATTATTTTGTACGTTTTAAATAATTATTGTTTTGGACAATTATTTTGTACGTATTAAATAAGTATTTTTATTATTATTTTTAAATAAATATTTATATGTTTTAAGAGAAGATTAATTTTATATGATATTTTATTGTTGAAATTATATTATTATATTTTGGGTCAGAAATATATTATTATAGAGGAAAAATATTTTATAATATACATGTATTTATTTTTAATTATTTTGAGGAAAAAGAGAAGTGGGTTAGAAGAGAAGGAAAATGGGTTGGGTTGACCCAGCCCAATGGATTAATTTTAAGAAAGGAGTTAGGTAGCGTTAACCCTATCTACCTCATCTGCGTTCTGAAGGATTAGAAAACAAAAAAAGAGGAGAAATAAAGAGCTCTAAGGAAGAGTACTCAGAAACGATCTTAGATCATACCAAGACCATTCGTCTTCTGCTCATCCAGCTAAGGGGGAGTGAGATACCTCGCTTTGGGTGTGGGAATATATGTTGGGTAGTGGGATTGACCCCCAATCCTGTGTTTGTTGTATTTGTTGTATGCTCGTGTATGAGGGATTTTTCTCAATTGTATCTGTTTCATCTATTGTTCCTCTTATATGTAATTAATTGTATAAATTGTTTGAATGAATGATTAATTTCAGTTTT